TGTTAAGGAAGTGTAAAAGTGTACAAGGAAAGAGTTGCATTTCCAGTAGGTAACTTCAAGCTTTTAACTACCTTTGTCTAAAAGTCCCATTCTTAGGGACACCAACTTGCAGCAGCTCTGCGAATACCACCCCCCAAACTGGGATCTGATTGTGCAGTTCTACTGCTATTTAGATCAATCCACTGTGAGTGTATGTATAAACTTTCTGTCCCTTCTTCCATCTCCCACCCATCCCCCAACAGTTACAGCCAAGTTCTTATCTAAGCTTAGCATTCTACTTGTATTTGGGAAGGTGGTCCTCATGGTAACTTATAGCACTGATTTCCTAGCTATATTCACACAATTGCCTGCGGTTGTATTAAAATTCTGTATTTTGGAGTGGCAAGAATTTGGAGCAGGGTAGAAGTTAGGGGTTGTTCTTTGTTGTGGTTTATAAGGTCAGTCTCTTTTTTTGCAAGATATGAAGCTTGAGGATGGAAAATATGTAGAAATGGGTTCTGCTGTTCTGTACATCTGGGTTTTAGGGTTTTTTTTGCCTCAAATTATACTGCAGCTATCGCTGTAACAACACAATGATTCTCTCTGGAGCAAAGTTCTCAATCTTGTCTAGTTCCTCTTTCACTTATCAAAAATTTGATAATAAGGAATACTCCACATGATCACCTTGGTCATCGACGTGAATTGCAGCAGGCTCCAAAACATCTTTCAGTATTTGTTTTTATTGAGAAACTTGGAAACATGGGAGCTTAGTATTTTTAATATTTGTAATATTCATGTAGAGCAGGCATTACAGGTCTTCAGCCCACTTTTTCATTATTTGACTGTAAATTAGGCCTTCAGTAGAGTATATGTGACACAATTGATTATACCCAGCTGCTAGCTGGGTACTGAATCATTATTTTACGTGAAACCTTGTTTCCTGTCTCCTTTTGCTTTCAAAATCATTTCAGCAGAAAATTTGTGTGAATACAACTGTTATTTGTTTGGACGCAATGTTCAAACCAAATACCTACAGCAAAAGGTGATTAGGTGGGACAAACTGGGATTCGTAAGACAAAGTGCAGACCATGGGAATTTTATAAATGGTTTATAATGCTGGAAGTACGCATTTGTATGAAATACAGTACAGTGACATTAACTTGCAGCATACCTACCTTTTAACTTTGATATATGCTGACATTGTGTGGAATAACTCACCTTTTTGATAACTAAACAAAGTATCTTTCTTCCTAAGACATGAGGAGGATACAAGAGAACCGAAATAAATTGTTCAGCATTATAGAAACATTTGTCAGCATTATGAAAACATGTGCCCATGCAGCAAAGAAGGCCAACTGCATACTGTACTGTAATAGCAAGAGCATAGTCAGCAGGTCGAGAGAAGCAATTCTCCTGTTTTATGTGGCACTTGTGAGACCTTATCTGGATACCATGTCCAGGTTTGTGCCCTTCTCCTTCACCCAGTAGAAGGCAGACATTGATGCACTAGAGTGAGTTGTGAGCGCAAGGCCACCAAGATGGTCAGGGGCTGAAGCATGTTGCCATACAAGGAGGGGCTGAGGGGGAAGTAGACTTGTTCAGCCTGGAGAAGAGACGGCTAAAGGAGGTCTTGTTGCTGTTTCTAGCACCCCAATGGGAGGGTATAGAGAAGGCTGATGAAGACTTTTCTCAGAGGTGCAGAAGGGTAGGATGAGGGGCAACAACATGAGATGAAACATGGGAAATTCAAACTAGACATAGGGGAAAAAAACCTTTCACTATAAAGATGATCAAATATTAGAACAAGTTGCCCTGAGAGTTTGTGGATGCCTCCATCCTTGGAGATATTTAAAACTTGATTGGCCAAGTTCCTGAGCAGCCTGCTGTACTGGGACGAGTTTTGAGTAGGAGGCTGGACTAGATGACCTCCAGAGGCCCCTCTGTGATTCTGTGATAAGGCTAATAGTTATTTTGTGTGAGAAGCTGGGGGAAAAAACCACGCTCTGTGTAAAGGATATGCAAGATTATACTATTAGTTTTATACTGTTACAGTGAACATTTAAACACACAACAGTAAAGATGTAAGCCCATGAGCAGAAACCAGTATAAGCTTTTACATATAATTAAAAAAAACCCCACCTCAGTATTCAACTTCTGTGATTCCCACATCAATAAAACATTGATTTCTTCTCATGCTTAGGAAAGTAAGCAGAACTTCCTGTATTTTAAGTTATGGATTTCCTGTTTTTGAGGTATGTGTGCTTTGGTTGTGGTTGTTTTCTTCTGAAAATTTACTACTGAATGTTATAGAAATAGATTTCAGTAGCTCAAATTGGTAAAAAAGCATGTATAATTTTGGAGTTGTTATTAAAGAACAAGCTTCAGTTACACTGAATTGTGTAATCATTAAGTACTGTGATGGTGTCATTTTTGTTACTTATTTCTTCTGCTTTCTTCTCTCGTTTTTAACTTCTGTATTCTGGGAAAAGGCACAGACAAGGTTTTGGTTCAAAGCCATTCTATGTTAATTGCAGAGACTCTGGTTAGGCAACAATCATCCAGTTAGATCTGCTGGCTCGTAGGTTTGTATGAGTATTTCCTAGATGTTTTCAGTCAAAATGATTTAGGTTAATATAGATGTACTATGTAAGCTAAACATGACTTACTTTGGCCAAAACAAATGTGTAAAGGGTGTCTTTACACATTTGAGAGAAACAGCAGTGAGTGGCTGGGGTCGAAAATTCCTCTTGTTGGCACAAGTGGAGGAGTGTTTCTATGGCTCAAGTGAATTTGAAACATGATAGAACACAACTGACAGGCAGAAAAGAGGCCCTCGGTCCAGAAAACCGTACCTCTCTCTGTTAAGATCATAGCTGTCATTGCACTTTTCAGTTTTCCCCATACTTAAAGTACTGACAAACTTCCCTGCAAGCTGTAGGTACCCAAACTTAAGTGATTATTATAGTCAAGCAAATACTTCTGTTTGTTTTTTCCATATATAAATAATTCAGCGGTCTCACACCTCAATTAATATGAACTTATAAGACTAGTCGTTCAGTAATGTAAATTGGATGTCACTTGTGAATGCCCATCTAATGGAAACTTGCCTGAAGGCCCTTTCTTTACAGACTGTTGAGGATGTTAGACAGCATCAGCAAAGAACCTACCACTGCCGTCTAAGGAGGCACATTCCCATAAAGCATCTAGCTTATTTTTTTATTATTTTGCCATTGCTTATATGAATGCATTGAGAAATAATAAATGTTGAGGACTATTGTGTAACTTATCCTTTGGTAGAATGAACCTTTGAGTAAAGTTACTACCTTAATGCGGTCACTAGATGGCTTGCTAGCCTAGCATTTTCCTAAAATTCATACAGTTTAAAGACCTATGGATTCTTCTTGCTGCTGTGTTTATTTTTTGTTTCTCTGGAGGGGCAGGGTTTGTTTGTTTTTTTTTTTAAATCTAAGATGTTATTTTAAATACCATTTTTATGTCTGCAAGGGAGTGTAGGTTTACTAATCCTACAAATTCTCTAAATGTCTGACTTGGTGTTGCTAGAACTGTCTTCAAGCTGTTTACATCCTTATAATGAGGTAGATTGTTGACAGGAACTGCATTGTGAAACCTTTTCCTTCATTGTTTTGCCCATTAGTGGGACACTAAAAACAGGATAATATTTGAAGAGACCTTTTTAATACGCACATTTATTTTAAGCTTTTGATGGTTTGTAAAATTAGGACATTCTATCATGGTAATGAACTAGGGTCCAGAGGGGAATCTTCTGTGAAGCAGCATAATGTGTATTCTGTCATTATACTTTGCTTGCAAGGTCTGCTGTTCTTTACAGCAGGCAATACCTTTATGTGATTCCAGGCTTACTGGTGTGGCGGGAGACTGCTGCAGGTCTCCTGGGTTGTAATGCTGCTGCTCAGGCAGAGAAAAGAGAAGGCAGGTTTTGCCTAACTTACTGTCTAATAAAATCAGCTTCCCAAATGATGTCTGATATATAATGGACTGAGTTTAAGTTGTTTTCCTTTTATTTGTCTTTGGAGATATGAATTAGGTAACAGCCAGTGAGACTCACCGTGTCTCTTTACTCCTGCAGTCATTTTATCTCCCACTTGCTTTCATCATCCCACTCCCTTTGTTTTATTTTCATGGAGGTAGTGCCTAATGTCTGATAAATGCTTGGAAAAATGCTTTAAAATGCTTGGGCAAACTTTGTGTTTCCTACAGACATACCTGTTTACTCTGGGCTGCGTATACTGGAAAAATAAATATAATTTCTTTATTCTTGTTATCGGTCTGTATATACTTTGCTGTAAGGGTGAGATTTTTCCTCAAAAAGTAAGTTTACAAAAGTTTCCATTACTTTACAAAAGTTTCCAAAACTCTGAAAAGCCTGTTTTAAAAGGAACTGGCAGCTGCTTTTCACTGATTTTTTTGCTACTAAATATCACTGGAATATTTGACTGGGTTTTGACATTTTACACCGTCCTTTGTCAGAGGAGATTCTTTGAAGTTTTATCATCATGGCCTTCTCCCCCTTTCTTTTTTCCCTTTAAATTATGTTTTTATCCTTATATTCATATCTTACGAGAAGTTTAAGGTCTTTAGCGTCGCGGAGTGAGAATGTCTTGTTTAAAACGCATGGAGAAAAAATGATTTTTTTTTTTCAAATAAAAAATGTATATTCTGCAATATTCTGGTTATAGAACTAGATTTCAGTTCATTGCATATATATGCACAGATGGCCTCATTTAAATGTTCTAAGTGTTAGTATATAGATTAGGACACTGGTGTTATTAGCTGTAGGTAATACATTTAATTTGTACTTCTGTATTAATCACTTTCAGTTGAGAAAGATTTTTTTTTTTACCTCCATGTTACCACTTCTAATGTATGTTGTATAGTGAATGACTTAAATTTATAACTGCTCAGTCTCTAAAACTTTTTTTACTTCTTTAGCAAGTATAAAAGCATAGTCTTCCTTTCTGCTGTAGATAATGTAGACATTAAGTCATAAAAACTGCACTTAATTCAATAGTTAAATATTTACTAGTTAAATATTATATGGGGTACTTACTTAAGGTTTAGAAAAAAATCTCTTGTCAGAATGTTTCACTTTAAGTTACTCAAGCCAGCAGCTTGGCAAGCAATGTATCATAATCTTGGAATAGTGCTGTTTTTTTCAGTAAGTGAAAATTTCTTAACGAAAAACTCTTTCTACAGGGTGGTGCAACATTAGAATTTTACTTCTTGAGCATGTGTTCAGTGTCCAAGAAGCATTCTGAGCAAACATTAAGTTCTGCTTATTCCTTTTATACAGGATATTGTACCAGTGGATGCCTCTTACGAGGTGAAAGAGCTTTATGTGCCAGAAAACAAGCTACAGTTGGCCAAAACTGATGCTGAGTCTCTGTTAACCTTGGAAATAAATAAGGTATTGTGTGTTTGGTTGTCTCATTGCTGAAGTTGAAAGACAGTCTAATCTGTTGCTCAGCAGAAGTAGTTATAATGAAATACCTGTACTGGTTACAGAATCTAATTTGATAGAATTTTTCCCCTCTTTTCTTGAGAGAAATCACAGCATCTGTGTCTTCTTTGATCACTTACTAGAGATAACAGTTGATCTTTGTGATTTCATAAATAATGTCCGGTATAGTGTTAGTTTATCCCAAGCCTGGAGATTAAATTTACAGTGACTTCCTCCCATGCCTCTCCCCTCACCCCGCCTCGCATCCATGGACTAAACCATGCCTGGCATGTCTTGTATGAGTAGTTGTTTCCAGACGAATTACTAACTTTTTTTTTTTTCAGCTTACTTACAAAACCCTTTTTATTTTGAATTGTAATGACCTAGAAATATGAAGGAAATCAGTTACTGCTTCTTGATTCTCCTTGTTGGTAACCTTCAGCTGAACAATAGTAACCTTTATATACCAGGCTCAAATGGTTGCAAACTTAAGTCTACAAAGAGATGATCACATCTACTTTATTGGTTTTTTTTTCTGGTTAGAGCATATTCATGCTACTTTTCTGGCTTTCAGCAGAGAAAATGTGGAAAAGCGTGGATCAGCTTGATCAACTGTTCTTATTTTGGTTAAATGCATTATTTTCCAACTCAGGTAAATTAGACAAAACTGCTTCTGGCTGTGTTTCTGTTCTACCTCATCTTCTTTTTCTGAAGAACTAGGCCTAAACACAGACACAATGCGTGAGTTTTTTCACTGGCTTTTTGACAGTATTACTAGAACTTAAAGCTAAGCATTTGATCTAGGACCTGACTAAGCTCAGAGTTGAGCATCTGCAGTCAGTAACTTGACTTTGAAGGACTGAGATGACATACTAAGCACTGAATTAAATAGTTTTAAAATTTGCCTAGCCTTCTACTACTAATAAATTTTAATACTTCCTTTCACTGCCTCTTACTAGATGCCTTTCACATATGTATCTGTAAAACTATTTATTGCTTTGATGAGGAATAAATATTTAAGGTCACCATTATTAAATTTCTGTAGTGTCCCATTCTAAATTGCTCCCTATCTAGAAAAACAAATCCTTTCCCCCTCCACTCCCAACCAGTGGTTTGTAAAATATCAAGCAAGTATATAACATAAGCTTGGGAAGAAAATGTGTGTTGTACTCGCCTCAGCATAAATTAAACAGTGTAATAAAATTAGTCATGCTCTTTGCAAAAGAGACTTGCACAAGCAAAGCCTGTCTTTGTCAAAGACTTGACCAAGTCTTAGTAATGCACGTGCAGAAATAATAGAGGCCACACACTAAGTCATAGTGTAACTGTTTAAGTGCTAAGGAAGGAAATTCCCCGTAAGCTGATATCTCTTAAACTAAAATAAGTACTAGTCCAGAGAGAATTTTACTTGTGGATTGCCTCACTAGTTTCTGCAATAAAAATTTTCTTTCTAATCTGTTTTAAGATTAGACCTCTTAATATTCATGTCCATAATTCTCATATTTTTGTGGTAATTGTATGTGTTGTGTTTTTTCTTGGTTATCTTGCTTTGTTAAAAAAATAAATGCAAGTGGGGCTCTCTAATTCTGTTAAGTTGAACTTTATCAAACATTTACAAATCAAGTTTGTTGTGGGGTTGGTTTTTTGTTTGTTGGTTTGTTTTTTAACACATGGAAGTTTGATCTAGTGTAAGGACTGGAAAATAGCCAAAAATATGAACAGTGAGGAACAAGTTGTTCTTTTTTTCTTACTTGTAGAAACTTTGAATTCTTCGTGATTAAAAACTGTAATATTGAGAAATCTTCCATTTATACTGTCCTGCATTTTATGGGTAAATCATGATCTATTATGATTAATACCTGATGTCAATCATTAAGCAACAACTTTTATCTGCTCTAAGTCTATTTCTCCGTTTCTTTACAAGGTGGATATGCAGTGGGTGCAAGTGCTAGCAGAAGGTTGGGCAACACCCCTGAATGGCTTTATGAGAGAGAGGGAATACCTACAGTGCCTTCACTTTGACTGTCTCCTCGATGGTAGGGTAAAACTTACCATTTGTAAAACTGAACAAACTAATCCTACTTCTAAAATATTGTTGATGTTTTGCTTCTTAGTGATGGTGTGGTAACACGTTATCAGGCTTGTTCACAACCTGGGGTAAGAGAATAGTGTATTATAATCATCAGTTTTAAACTTGATGGTTTTATTCTTTTTATACCTACCATTGTGTTAGAGTTTGAATGTCTTGTCTTTTTGCCTTTACAAATTATATTTTTCAATTGTTTTCACTTTTGAAAAACTTTTAAACCTAAAAATCCATGTTTCTAATTTGTATTGAAGAAATTGATTTTAGAATTCAGAATTGCAATTTAATTGCTGTTTAGCTCTGTGTGCCAAAAGATTTGTTCTGTAACAGTAATGAAGGAAAAGACAACAAACTGACTTGAGTGCTGGAGCTATTGCAGATATGAAATCAGAATTTGAGGTGGCTTGAGTATGGACAATTGTCACGTGTAATTGAATTACCATGACTTAGTAATTATCCTGTGATGATTTAAATGAACATATCTTATTTTGCATTACCAATTGGCTAAGAGCAAGCATTAGTTAAGGTAACCAACAAGTGATAACATACTCAGGTTTTGGAATTTGATTGTGATCCTCTGTCATTTTTCATTTATTCCTCTTTGAAGGCTCTGTTTCACTCCAGCCTTTTAGGGGTTTTTTGCACTCTATATCAGAGGGATAGAAAAAATTCCTGTCTTCCCACTTCCTTCTGCATTACTCTTCTCTTGCTGGAGACCAAATAGCAGGAAAAAAAAAGTCACTTGTCTTTCACTTCTATGATCCAGACATCTGTTGTCCCTCTTACATTTTCTAGTTCCCTTTTCTATAAGTCTCTTGGATACTATCCTAGGCAACATAATGCCATCCTGTTATTTTGGAGTATGTTTGCAGTATCATTTTGGACTGCTAGTTTTGTTTTCATTCCATCTGCCTTCTGTGTGTCCATCCATGTGAAATGTACTCTGAAGATGGCATGCTATGCATTCGACTGCTAAAATAGCTCGTAGCTTCTTATTCTGCCCTGTAGTCTTCTGTAAATCAGAATTTTTATAAGGCTTTTAAGACCTTGTATAGGTGAGTGTTTCAGATATGGCAATATTACAAGTTCTTAAGCTTCTCTTGCAATTGTTTTTAGTACCTCATGTATGCTGCAAAAAATATGAGAAATGAAATATAAGGAATAACTTATTGGTGGAAACAATTATCAGTCCTAAGCTTGAATAGAATAGTCATGTTCCTCTAGATGCTGCCATATTTCCTCCTCTTAGATATGTACTGCAACATTTACGTATTAGAACCTTTTTAGAAAAATGTGATTGCCTTAAAACTGCTTTGCTACTTGAAGCAGTGACAACAGTTAAGTCAAAACAACATCCTGAAAGTTTCCTCCCTGATTGGTATGTTAGTTCTGGAGTCTCACAGCAGCAGTCATTTTCCAGGGTTTTGATTTTGAAGAGAGGGAAATTGTTTAATAGCTGCAATGCATCTCATCCTTTGGGCTCTAAATGTGATGTTCATACTGACTGACTTATACATTATGGAGATCAGTGCAGGTGTGTTGATATTCTCACTTTAAAGCCTAATTATCTGAAATAGTTTCAAGCTGACACTGTGCTCATCTGTGACTTAACAAACTCACTCTGCTGCCTTGCCTCAGTTTGTCATTTGCACAGTGGCTGAAGACAGATGTCAAAGATGTTATATATTTATTATTGGTCACTGACAAAATTTTGATGATCGACAGGTTTGAGATCTCTTCCCAGTTTGAAATAGTTATTTACTTGTTAGCAAAGCAAAAGGATTTTTTTAATTACCAAGTTAGGGGTGGCAAATCACCTTCTCTGTGACTGTTGCCAAGCTCAATTTTATGACCTAGTTGCTTTGAAAATAACTCTGAGCACTAAGACTGAACTTAGGAGAAGATGGCAGCATGCTTTTCACTTCGCATTATGAAGGAAGGGGGGACCTATTTTTCTTTTAAACTTTTCATCCAACTTCATAATTTTTAACTTCCTACCACACTTAAGGTAAAATTGAGAGGAGGTTATAAAAATTGTATTGTTCAAATAATGAGAAAATCAACCTTATTTAGAGTCTTGGTCCCACTAAAGCCAATAGCAAAACCCCCATTAACTTCAAGGGGCCCATGACTTTTCTCCTGGAGACCACCCAAAAGTTTTGTACTCTTTCGGCAAGTGTATGCTCATTAGAATTCAAGCCTTTGTATGAGACTTGGAGTATTTACTCCACTGGGTTTCTCAAATCTCACTCTTGTAGTCAAGAAAAACAAGACTTCCAGCATCTAGCAGTGAAGTAAATGCTTAAAAATGAGGACCACATGTAACCTTAAAATTCAGATACATTGGTTTAGTTTTAGAAGTAAAGTAGCTGGTAAGCTTTCAGCTGAACAAACTATGCAAAATGTCTGCCTGACAACATTTTTTTCTGAAATATATATGCTTGAAGCTGAATCCAGTTTTAAGTAAACAGCAAAAGTCACCTTTCGAAATAGTTGAATTATATAAATGCTAACTACTTGGGTGCATTTGGCTGCTTCTATCGCATTTAACTTTTCTTGCGGACCAAAAGTATGGCTACTGAGAATGCTATTTCTTTTTTACTCATTATCCAATCCAGTAGCAATCTTGCCTAATATATTAGATGATCTGTTTAAAAATGTCAATTGTGTATTTCTGCTTACTATATAGCTTCTTGAACAAGATATTAATTTGAGATCCCATAAGAGTAGTATCATAGTCTAAATACTTGTGTGCATCTATAAGTACTTGCTATTTTCAGTACTGTCTTTGCTCTTTCTCAAACCTCAATGCTTGCACATTTTTATAGCACACATACCTTCTGCAAGAGTTCATTCTAAAAGTTGCTTTTAACCCCTGTTAAAATAAGTACTTGAACTACCTGTTGTGTGATACATGTACAGCCTGGACTGTAGCTTGTTAGGAGGGTAGATTTTCATAATGTCATGGATGACCATTACTAAGCACAAGGGCCTTTTTTTTTTTCCCTTCACTTTGCAGGGGGAGTTATTAATCTGTCAGTGCCTATAGTGCTAACAGCTACTCAAGAAGACAAAGAAAGACTGGATGGGTGTACAGCAATTGCACTGGTGTATGAAGGTCGCCGTGTGGCCATTCTCCGTAATCCTGAATTCTACGAGCACAGGAAAGAGGAACGCTGTGCTAGGCAATGGGGAACGACATGCAAGGAACACCCTTATATCAAGGTGTGTGTTTAAAAGTTGAAAATCTAGTCCTATTAGCTGTACTGTTTGTGGAGCTGCAAATTAAGCGAAGCTGATGTCTGTGACTGGTGTATTTCGACAGCAAAACTACTTTGAGAACTAATTAAAACATTTGAACAGAAACAAAGGTGATTTTTTTTTTTGTTCTATGCAGCTGTTGATAGTCTGCACTTAGTGTGAAAATCTGTCAATATGTGCACATGAAATAAATTTAGAATGTACTGTAGAATCTGTGCTACAGAAGAGGGAACTTTGCCCTCTAGTGTGCCTAGGAAACGCATCCCTCTGTGTAGCCAGATGGATCATCAAAGCTCCTTAATCACTGGATATATGCATTGTGAAGGCAAGAAAACTTCTATTCTGCCTGCATGTGGAGCACGTGAGAACTGCCTGGTTTAGATGCTTTTGAAATAGTCCCCGTTCCTGGAGAGTTCATCATTTAACTCTCTGGGGAGCTATTTCCCATCCATTGTGTTCAGTGTGTTTTATTATCTTGACCTTATGTGTATGAAATACTCCAATCCTAACATACTCATAGCAATGCTGTGTTGGTTTTGCAAGCTGATGTAAATGTTGCATCTTAGCTCTGCATTGACAAAATATGTTTCTTTCTCCATTTGTCTCTATAATAGCGTTTGGTTTACAACTATGACTTAACATCAGATAAAAAGAAATCAAACAAACCTCAAATTATGAGCTTGCTGTTAAAAAGGGAAAGCCTTTGTGTTCTAAAAGTATCTGTATCACTAATACTTATGTGAAAACTGCGGATTTTTTGACTTCTTTATTTTATAAATGTATAATCAATTTTTTTATTAATGTGTAATGATAATTACTGACTGAAGTTGTATTCAGGAGTATATCTGAAAAAGGACATCTCCTGCTAGATACAAGGAAGAGTATTCTGGAAGATTTTCAAAGCCCTTGATGTGTTCTGTGCTGATGAACATAAGAGTACATCTTTATTGAAAACTTAACACAAATTCAAGAAATTCTAAGAAAATCTCATGTAGACAAGATTTGAATGACTTGTTATAATGCATTAGTAATTACTGAGTGACATGGCTGAAACTAATGTAGAAGGTGAGGAACTATGTTCTTATGTCTGTACTGGCGTGCGTAGTAGTATCACGACAGCATATGAATGTGTGCATAGTAGTATCATGACAGCACATGAATCTGGTGGCCCTTCTAAATTAATCAGAAATCTTTGGGTGCCTGAGAGTTACTGTAGTGCAGAGTTTTCTCATCTTCATATCTTTATCACACTTTCCCCCCACCTTGGTAATATGTCAAAGTTGGGCATTTTTTCTGGGAAGGGGGTGGTGACTGTAGCATCATTTAATTCCAGGAGGTCCTCTGTCTCAAAGCAAAAATGAAATTAAGTGTGGATTTTTCAATTTAACATCTTGGCTCATGGGTTTAGTATGTAATGTGTTATATCAACATTTGTTGTCATCTTTAAATTAGATAAGGCTAGAAAATTATCAGAAATGTGTATGAAACTTGGAAGTTTTTTGTGGTTCTATCTTCAAAAGAAAATGCATTCTCAGAAATTAGCAACTTCTGAGTGATTTCTGTGGCCATTGCTAGAGTATGTTAAGCAGCTTGCCGTAATTATTTTTTGATAACGGGTGAGGTGATATTTGAAGATAAAAAAAGAATTCCAGTGAGTGTACAATATATGTTGCCTTGGTGAAGTGCTACCTTGAAACAAATGCAAAAGCTGTCCTACTTCAAAGATTCTGATTTTATTCGTAAATTAAAGTGTGTGAGTAGTTAATCAGAACTGTTTTATTTGTTACTTTATTGCTGACCAGAACCCCGTGAACTGCAGGGTGATACTGGAACTGCATTTGCTTTGACCAACAACTATAAAGCGTGCAACTTCATTGTACTTAATATATTAGGCTTTCCAGCCACTGTCTCTTTTTGTCAAGTAATAATGTTGGTTAAGAATACTGGCTACTTACATTTCTATGTATTAAAAAAAATCCTTTATTTTGAAAGAATGGCATATGCCTACTGAAGATTTGTGCATCTCTCCTGCACCATGGTATAACATGTCTGGACTATGTTCCAGTAATTTTTTTTTTTTAAAACACTGATGCTTGACTTGAGACTGTCAAAATTAACCCGAAACTCTTCCCTTCGTAAAGATGTGCCCACATTGCAATGCTCTAGATGCTCAGGGGAAGCTGACAACCAATCCTAACAAGGATTTTCCTTTCTTTTCTTAGATGGTTATGGAGCAAGGGAACTGGCTTGTAGGTGGAGATCTACAGGTCCTTGATCGTATTTATTGGAATGATGGACTTGATCAATACCGTCTCACTCCAGCTGAACTAAGGCAGAAATTCAAGGAAATGAATGCCGGTGAGTAAATTTTTCTTGTTCTGTTTCTTCCTGCAAAGTTTTATTCAAATGCCTGCTGCCTCAATACCACAGGGGCTAGCATTGTTTCAAGGATGAAGATTTTGAATGCTCTCTTAAGTGGCATTCTTTGCCTTTTACTGGTATTAATTTTTATGGTCTCAGGCTTTGCATTGCCTAAATATACAAGAGAAGCTGATAATGCCTGAGGTTCTGTATTTTATCTTTCCATGCACCCTAGATATGTTACTAATGCAAGAGAAGATAATGTTAAAATGTGGTAGAATGTGACTGAAAAACTATCGGGTTCGGCTAAAACCGTAGAGGTATGGTTGAGGGCTGAGCTTTCATGCTCTTCTATTTTTAAGTCTGCGGGAGCAAAGCTTATGACAGTAATGCAAGTAGACTGGTGCAAAGTGGAATGTATCATGGTTAAAAACTGTGAGCTAACTGCTAGCTTCATATTGCAGAAGAAACAAAACAGTTTTTCTCACTAAAGCAGTTGCGTTAGGCAGATAAATAAGAGGCTGAGTAATGTCATAAAGCAGAGAACAATCAAACACATTGCCTTCATTGTGGCAGCGACTGGCAAGCAGCTGCTAAGCACTTCTGAGGGAAGAGATTAATGTCAAGAATGCAAACCGAGATTGGTTCTGAGCTTCTGTCTTTTTTCAGTGTGGTCAGTATTTCCAGGATCTGCAGGTTTGAGATACCAGCCTCTGTTTTAGCTAGCCCCTAAATGAATATATTTGATACCTGAAAAAACTCTGTTCTCTAGATTCCATTGGTTCCTTATTGGGAAACCTCTCAGTTATAGTGATTTTACTGTCTTGCAGGGTACCTTAGTTCATCTTAATTTGCAGAAGGGAGAAATCCTAGTTGTGTCAGGGTTTTTCACTGAAGGGTTTGTAATACTTTGGAATAGCAGTTAGCCTCACTTTGTTCTTACTGTGCGTAAACTCTACTAAGCTGTTTAGGTGGAGAAAACTTATTAAGGCACATTAAATCCCTTTTTATTTGTTTTGTTGCAAACATGTCCATTTGTTCTCCTCATGATACATTGAGCCTTTAAGACAGGTATCATAAATTCTAAGAGGGAATCAAACTAACTTTATATTATATGCTCATGCAAGTGAAAAATCCAAAGAGATTATAGCTATTGGAGAAACTAGAGTAATTCTGCAGAAATCTCAAAAATGAAGGAAGTTGACTTATGTTTTTTTAGTATGTTTTTTTTATTAGTTTTGCTTATTGAGTATAATGATTTTATAATAATTCATAATCCTTTAATGACCTGTGACTACTGCAATTATATTTGTTTAGTAGAGTTCAGAGGAGAGATTGTACAGAGGAAAGATTACACACACACACACACCCCGGTTGTACAACTGATAAAATAATTTACTTTCCTTATATCTTTTGTCTGTTTCTTCTCCATAGATGCTGTCTTTGCGTTCCAGTTACGCAACCCAGTACACAATGGGCATGCTCGTTTAATGCAGGATACTCATAAGCAGCTTTTGGAACGTGGCTACCGGCGCCCAGTTTTACTCTTGCATCCACTTGGAGGCTGGACAAAGGAGGATGATGTTCCTCTCATGTGGCGCATGAAGCAACATGCTGCAGTACTGGAGGAGGGAATCTTGAATCCAGAAACAACAGTGGTGGCTATATTCCCTTCCCCTATGATGTATGCTGGACCAACTGAGGTAAATACATCAAAAGTTTAAAACAAAACCAACCCCCTTTGATAGTGCACTAAAGTATTTCGTGCTATGCCTGATGTTTGTGCACCGTGGTTTTTTTTTTTAATGGAGAGAGGTGACTAATTTTCCTTGGGAAACCAGATTGCAAAGGCTCCCTCTGTTATCAACCAAAACATTCTTCTATGAAGAAACTTCTGTATTGGAGGATTTTGCTGGAAATGGTGGGAGACAATATAGGGTTTATGTGCTCCTTTCTTTACAGTTATAAGGGTATGTCCTTTTTTACAGTATTTTTCAGAAGGAATTATCAAGACCTGTTAACATACCAAATAGTTGTCCTGAACGTTAGGATACTTAAGTTTCATGACTGTTAAGCAAATGTTTGTATGTTGGAGGGCTATACACAAATTAAAAAAAAAAAAAACAAAACAACTCTTTGTTTATTTTTTTGGCAAACTTAATTGAGAGAGAATTGTTTCAAGGCTTTTGTATGAAAAAGTTCTTTGGCAACACTTTATTTAGAAAGTCCAACCTCAGGTCTTGGGTTGGAATCTCTAGAGGTTTGTGGGAAGCAGCAGAGAGAATAAATGCTCTCATTTGAGGGCAATTCCTTTAGGGGATATTGGTTCTCCATCTCATTACTTTTTTTGGTGGTTCTTCTCCCCCGCCATGAGTCGCAGGAAGTTGCAATTCTGACCAGGCTGAAGAGGTTAACTCTGTGGTAGCTTTTTGATAGATAGGAGATCTCACCAGTGGAATTAAATTAGACAGGTGTTGCTTATTTTCTGCTGGCCAGTTGTCTGGTCAAACAGAGCTTGCACTGCCTTTCAGTCCAGAGAAAAAACTGTAGTCCAGATCTAGTTGAGGCATCTAAGTGAGTTACTGTAGGGAATACCGTACTGTTCCCATAGACCCTTTGTGAGAATTAACAGAAATCTTCTACTTTGGTCTTGTATTCACAAGCATATGAGGAGGAACAAGGTCCATGATCCTTATTCTGAACAGAGTAAGAGTTTTCTCCTAGCCTATATGGCATTTCCAGTGACCTCAGAGTACGGCCTGACAATAACATTTGTAGCCAAGTAATAAAAGAGACTCTTCCTTTAATCATTTTCCATAGGTCATTTAAAAGACATTGGTACCAGATTTGTTTCTGTAGCACAGGTGCTTTAGAGAACAACAAGCAGCTGTTAGTATGGTTATCCACAGGATGCATGTGGCCTTCCAGTCTGTAAAGATTTTAATGGACATGTTTCATAAGCATCAATTTAGCAATTTTGTGTTTTTAACATTCCTGATAATTACCTTGGAAGAAAAGAAACAGTTCTATAAGGGAAAATTCTGTATCAAAATGCAATAAATTCACCTGCTTAGGAAAGTAAATATGTTCTGAAGTAGTATGGATGCATAGAAATGGGACAAGAGGTGCTAGTTTTATGTCTCAGACATGTGGTTTACATTGTTCTAAATTGTCTTCGTCAAATAGCTTCACTTATTCGAAATGGAGTTCTTACTTGCTGTTACTCAAATGACAACATGAAACTTAAATTTCTTAACTATGCTAGAATAGTTTCAGAGAATATACTGCTAGCTGCTGTGGTATGCTGGAATTTCATGTGTATGGCCCACTCTGTACTTGTAACATAAATATTAAAATTATTAGCATAGCTATCAGCATCCAGACGCTTCCATAGCACCCTATATGCTTGAATAGCAGTTGAATCCATCATGTGTAATGTCTGGCTGTGGTCAAGATGAAAACTGATACCAACAGTACCCTCATAACTCATGACTTGTTCCTAATTTCATTATGTGACTACTGATTTACAGAACTCTGTCCATATTAACTGCAAAACTTCCTTCTTGAATGGTTTCTATAACGATTAGTTGTAGAACTAATGTAGAATTAACAGTTAGTTACGACTTTGAAAAATCACTTTTGAGCTTCTTGCCTACAGCTTATTAACATAGAACAGCATGCACAGTGACTAAAATAGGAAACACTGATTTTTGTTTTATGTAAAGATTTGCAGTAAGCAGATGAAAATTTTTTTTGTAATGGAAGGAAAATTTATCCATGACACTGTCCATTTACTACAAGGTAGCGGCAGCAACTTTTGTTCTATGATTTGTGGGGTTTTTCCCTCCTGCCTCCCCTTCTTTTTTTTCCCTTTAGTGCTTGACAGATGTTTTGACAGATGTTTATTACTGTTCAACTTGCAAAGCTATTTTACACTATGTAGTTACTGGGTAGGCCCTTTAGTTTTGTGTGAAGGTAAGGCTGCGCATGTAAGAAACTACTGTTACATACTTACTGCTTGTTTTTTTTTTTAAAACTCTTCTCTGAGTATTCTTTGGCAGGTACTAAGCTATATAGATGGTATGACAGTTCTTTCAGGGGAACGCTTCCCAGTATGAGAAGATACTGATATTTCCTGAAGTGGTGTGTCTTTGTTACCTAAAGTAATGTAATAGTTATTTTACTTTTCCTGTACTGTACAGTTAAATTTCCTATTTAAAATATTACATATAAAAATGAATTAAGAAAATTCACTAACAGTCCTATAACATGAGAAGTCTAAAAACTGTCATAAGTGTAACATATCTAACAGTCTAGGATCTTGTAAATACTGCAAACGGTCTTTGGGAGGAAAAAGAAATCCTCTCACCATATTTAGTAAAAGAGATGCATTTCTAAATAATTTGAAAGCATTTCTTTGGTTGTAGGGTGCAGATGATTGAATAGTCTGTGTGCAGAATTTCCTTTGGAGTACTTTTTTTTTACCTTCAGTAGTAACTGAGCTATAAGGAAAAAAGTAAAAATCAAGTTGTTCGTCATGAAACCACTCATTTTGAAATGTGCAACAAAGTAACGTGGGAAAGCTGTTTGTCTTCAAATACTTCAAATATTAGGTGGAAGGGAGTTGGTGCATCCAAACAAAAATTCAGTAAAGCTAAAGTTTCTGATTTTGACATTGGTTCCTCCCCAGTTTATATAGATGTGTTAGAATCAAATTATTTCAAAATGGTCGGGGAAAAGTGAATAAATATTTACCAAAACTAGAGTTGCTTTATCAGTTTTCATCTTGGAAGCTTGTGGTATAAGTAGGAAGTCTTAGTGACAGGCAGGCTGTGAAAGCCTATTGCGAGCATTCGTGTGCAGTATGTACCTAGTTTATACGTCCTTTGGGTCTTAATATTGACACAGACTAAGTGTTAAAGGCCTGCCTCGGACAATATCCTTGCCACATGCACCAGGTGAAAATGCTGAGCATGGCTAATTTTTCTGTTTTAATGTGTAGATAGGTTGATTAGATCACTCAAGAACACTCTGTTGTAGAAGCCTATCTTGTCTTTCTTCCAGTGAGATGTTTGGCAGCTATCTATTGGTCAGGGTGTCTTTTTAGAGAAATTACTGTGATTAAAATAGAGCAATATATGGCTAGATCCCACTAAGCTTCCCAAAGCAGTTGCTTTTGCATTAATTTTTTTATATAAAAGGAAAGGGATGGAGGGTGGCATCAGGAAGAACTGAGCTAAGAAATGGATGAGCTCCATCTTTCTTGCCCTGATTATACTGTTCCAAACACTGTGGTAAAGTAGTTTAAGTATCCTAATGTGCAAATGAAACGGGAATAGTATGTCTTAACTGTAAGTTTGGTGGTGATTCACATAACTGATTCTTTGTTTTGTTGTGGCTCCATAGTAAAAATCATGTCTGATTAGGGAAAAAGTGGTAATTATACAATGCATGCACATTTTAAGAGTCATATTTTGACTGTTTTCTTCTGTTAATTGTTTTTTCCTGTCTCTGTTCTAGGTTCAGTGGCACTGTAGATCACGGATGGTTGCAGGAGCTAACTTCTACATTGTAGGGCGAGATCCAGCAGGGATGCCACACCCTGACAGTGGGAAAGATCTGTACGAACCAACCCATGGTGCCAAAGTGTTGACAATGGCTCCAGGCCTCAGAGCACTGGAAATTGTACCCTTCAGAGTTGCAGCTTATAATAAAAAAAAGAAGTGCATGGATTATTATGACTCTGATCAGTAAGTTGTATTTTTAAGACTTTTTGAGCAATAGCTGCCTTTTACGTCCCCGCCTACATAAAAAAATTGTTTTTAATTAAATTCTTATTGCTCAAAGATGGCAGTGTTTAGATGTGGTTTTACATCACGAATGCAGCTTGACTTCAGCATGATTTGGGTGCGGTTTCACAGCACAACTAACCCGATCCAACTTTAGCTGCCCCTGGAAGCTCTTCTTTTCCTCCCAGGTACTGGAGTTTCTCTAATTCTGGAACATGTTGGCACAGATTGCTAAATCCACAGAAAAATATTACTATTTATTATAATGGTAAGATTAGCTTTCTGCTGGTTTATCTTTCTAAATATGCTTCTCAGGTGTTAAGTATGCATCAGATATGATGGGAGAGAAACAATGAGAGAGTGCAGCAGGGGGAAGATAGTGGACAGGAAAGGGTGACAAATAGCTATTTGCTCTGTTTAACAATAATGCAAAATGATGCCCTAAGTCCATTGTATGTCCCAGGGTTTTCAGCCGTGATTTGGTTTTTTTGTTTGATCCAGTTACAGGACAGGTAACTTCACCTTCTGCATGTTCCAATATTATTTTTGACTTGTGTGGCATAGCGGAGTCCAAAACTCACTCTATGTGTTGCTGTGGTGCCAATCAATGAGTGGGACTGGGAAGATGACTTGTCATTATAGTTTAAACCTCTTCATTTAGATTATTGAGCTGTACTTTTGCTTTACATCAAACTGCAGTTGTAGTTAGTACTGAAATGCAAACTGTTAAGCAAGATGTTTTTCTAAAAAACACTTTTATCTTCTATATTCTGACTATTTCCTACTGCTTCTAACTAAAGAAGTATGTCTGTACAACACAGTTCATCTTTGAAAGCATGAAATCAGCATGGGATGGATTGATCTGTAAAAATGAACTCATCTCTTACCTCTTGTTCTTCAGCTGCTTATGCTGCAGTTACACTGAGCATAAAAGTCTCCAAGGATGTCACTGTGGCTTGTGACAGTCGACCAACAAGTTTTATTCAGCAGCTTGTGTCTTTCTTACAATGAATTATGTTTATTAGTAGATAGTGTGCTGGCTTAACCTTGATTGTAAATTATGTAAGTGCTTTATATTTCAGCAGTAAATTCCAGGCACCTGAATTAGTCTGCTTTTATTTTTAAAAGCTGCAAAGTGTTATCGTCTTTTACATAACTAAATATAACTTTATGGTATGTTCTTCTGTTGTTTGGAAATCATAAGCAGCATGATAAAGGCAAGTCTGTTGAAACCTGACAAGAATTAAAATAGTTTCGCTGTGTATTACTCTACAATGTCCATATGTGTTTAGAAATTTGATGATTTGCTACATTGCAGATGTTTTAAAATTGAAGCTAATCAGGGACGCTTATTTAGCAGTTGTAGTTTGCTGATGCTGTTCTTCCTTCCTCCTCCCTCCCATATAGGCAGCATTCCAGCGTAAGGTTCTCCTTAGTGCTGTGAAGCTTCTTTTTGGATGGCATTGCAGCAGGTTTTTTTTTTTTCCTCAAGTGGAGCTATGGACAGTAGCGTCAGATCAGACCTATGCCCTGGTACATATGGTATTTTCGTTAGGAGGAATAAAATCAGCGGGAAGGATACTCCTAGCATACATGACATGAAAGTCTTTTCCTAAACTTATTGCCTCTTAGCTAGCTATTGAACGCTTCACTACCTTTGTGCCTTTCATTATCTGAGATGCATCTAGAAGTCCTCATTGCTGTGCACAGTAACTAGGTTGTGATGTAAATATTGCTAGTTTTATGCAAACCTGTATACATTATAACATAAGGTTCAAAAAGCTGTTGTAGTAGATACTATGGGTATTTGTCCTGTTTGTTGTCCAAGTAATTCAGCAAGTTTTAGAAGATAAATACATAAAGATTAAAGTGAAATAGTTGTACTGGTGTGTCATTTCTTAATAATTTGGCCTAGAAGGGGAGCAGCAACGTGAGAGGCCAGAATTCCCATTGCATAGAACAGAAAATCTTTGTAGAAGAATATTGATTCTGTGATCATTGATACTGTACTCTTAGCAGGATAGATTTGATTTAGATCAAGGGGAGTAAAACTGTACCTCTGTCATTAGCCAGAGCAAATGATAAAAAAATAAATAAATCTGTGGTAACAGGTTTTGTCTTTTGTCACAGACTGCATTATGTGCACCCTATTATCCTTTCATCATGCCTGTGGGGACCCTTTGGTTTGAGACTTTTTTTTTTCTGTTTCTGTCACTGTCTTGGAAAAAAGACCATGCTGCTATTAGTGTGCAGTTTTGCCCTGCTGCTGTCAGAATGTAAAACCATTTGTCCTGTCCTTCCCTAGATACTGTTTGTAAACTACAGGGTGGACTGGAGTGTAGCAGCAATCCTCTAGATGGCAATGCGGACACATGCAGACTCCCTGAAAAGAGAGCCATTATTGCTCCTGCTTGCCATAGACAGAACACTGTGGTAGGCTCCAGACAGAATTAGAGCTTGGGTGGGTGCAGCTGGCTGCATTTCAAGATAGTCTGTGTAACGCTGAAAATGTGGCAGACTCCTGGACCATGTGGTGTTTGACTCTGTAAGGATGATGGCAGGGAATAGAGGATTGTCTGGAAATATGAGAGGATCAGTACTGGTGGAAGACCCTTGGGTGTGAAATAGTGATGTTCGTGGAAATCTTTCCTGAGCTCACCACTTACCTGGTGAAAAACACAGTATGAAAATGTGGGGAAGAGGGTTGTATGCATAGAAGCGTGGCTCTGACTTGTTTTGGAAATGGGTAACTTGATTTCTATTGCACCTTTCTCAGTTCTTTGAGGCTTGGAGACTTGACAGCCAGCTAGGCAATTCAAGAATTTACATCACTAATGGATTCACAGAAGGTTATGGCAAGTGGGTTTCCCTTGGACCGAGCTACGGCTGAGCTGTGTCTCTTAGCTGCTGGAAGTAGTTATTCTCTCCCTGAGTGGTCATCTATTCTTTCAGGCCTCCTAGACTTCTCTATCCGGGAGGGTGCTTGTGAGAAGCCATAATGGGCACCATCTGCTATCTTGGGTGTGCCTCTAATTTGGCAGAGTTGGGCCCACACCTGGCTTGGCAGCAAAGACATGCAGAGGTTATTGCAGTTGGGCTCTTTGATGTTAGTGAATTATCTTTCTGCTTCTGAAGGCAATCTCAAGCCATGGGGGGGATGAATCTTTGGCTAGCGGTGAGAGGTTACCAAAAGCTTGATCCAACTGCCAGAAGGATACCTGACAAGTTGGGGCTGCAGCATTAGCAGTGGCAGAGAGTTGCTTTGCTTGTGACATTTCTAAACATTCATGCTCAGCTTTTATGAGAAAGGTGTAACAGTTGCTGATAGCATTCCATGTATGCCTATGGGGCTAGGTTTTCACATGCTCGGTTGGTACCGGTCAGCTACGTACCATAAGATACTGCGCAACTATGTGATACCTTGCTGTGGCTAAGCTGCTCATGATCTGGTGGCAAGCCTGGGAAGCATCAAAAAGCCTACCACTGGCCCTGCCTCCAAATTAGTAACTAAGGCCCTTACTTCTCAGGTGTGCTGCCTGTGATTCTAAGAGGTCATTGTTTTAAGGTCTTCAGCTCCCAAAGGTGTCCATGCAAGTGCAGTTTTGTGGAGTTGATACAGAAGTTAAGTTTGTTTCTCACTTCCGCTAGTATCCTCCAGAATGCATGCTGCCCTTGGAGTTTCAGTAGATCCCATATCTCTGCTTGGGAACAGTCTGGAGAACATGATTGTTAACTTTGAGCGTCAGGGCCTCACGCTGCTGGTGAACAATGTTGAGCTGCTGTGGTGCTGTGCTGGAGCTGAAGTCACTTGGCAGCAGGTGTATCTACATGTACCCCTGTTTATAAGGAAAGGCAGAGATATCCTCGTTGCATTCAAGGACAATCATGGAGCATTGTGCGTGAGGAAAGGGGGTAAGGAAAGACTGATGTAAAAGCCTTTATACTAGCTGCACAGCAATTGTAGCTGCAGAATGGTGCACAAAGTTTAACTTGTATAAATTGTTTGACTAAAGTTACCCTTTAAAATATTAAGACCTGCGAACAACCAATGACTTTGAAACTTTATTTGTATTTTACATCATGAAGCCACCACGATTTTTAATTTGTTTCTTGGACATCTTAGAATTAGGTTTAGCACCTCATGGAACCGCAGTCTTAAAACATATTTTTGGAAAAGTTGTGTCTAAAACTAAGATTTAGGAAAGGGATTTGAAGAATGCATTTGAAGCCATGTATAGCAGCACAGCTAGAGCTAACTTCATTTTATTTTCCCTTTGGTCAAAAAGAGGATAATAATAAAAAAAAAAAATCTTCCCTTTTTGTTGTTGCTGAAGTCAGACAGCAAGGCTAAACTAAGTTTCTGTGGGAAGCTTGATCATTTCCGCTTGCACAGAATTCTGAAGAAATAATACATATAGAAACTAGTATGAATATTGGTACAGTCCTTTGCTTATCATAGTTTTTACCCTTTTGGATTTCATAGAATTTTGGATCAATCATTGAATATGTCCAAACATGTTTTGGGAAAGTTTATAGGAAGAATTCTGGTTATAACGGAGAAATTCCAAATGAATGTCTGATCTGTGAACCACTGTTAGACTGAAGTGTAAAGAAAAAACAACCGAAGAACCAAGCAACCAACAAACACCACCACCTCCCAAAAAATCCCTATCCGATGCTGAAATCCCTTCAGAAAAACAGTTACTGTGTTTCTTCAGCCAAAAAGGCCTCTCAAAGAGTTACCACAGACAAGTGTAATTTGGGATTGGTGGCTTAATAATAGTAGTTGTTTGGGTGAGCAGAGATTCCCAATTCTTTACAGAAGATCAGTCCTATAAAATGCAGCCACAGACTGCTGCTGAGAAAAAAAACTCAATTAAGAAAGGAAATTAGTCTGGCAATTAAAAAAGCCACAGCAGTGTCTGGTCAAATGGATTTTTTTCTTTTTTTTTCTTTTTTTTTTTTCCCCCCTGAAAGAAAACTGATGAGATCATTTTGGCTAAAAGAAACCCATAAGTAAGGTTACTGGAGCAGACTATTCTTGATTTCTGTAAAATGTGAATGAAGCATGGGTATCGGTGAAGAGGAGCAGTTTTAACTTTAGATATATTTTATTCCCAGGACCTTTAAATATGGTTGTCATAACTGCTTTAATATTATCAATTCATACTTATAGGACAGCTGTTCCAACTAAGTATATACTATTCCCAAATTTGTTTGGTGTGATACCTGATCTTTAAAGTGATAGTAAGCAGCTGATAAGCACACTTGACTGTCCTCCTTAATTTCGCTATGTGAAATATAGTTTCTCAATTAACATTAGTACATAATTTAGGATACATTGAAACACTACAGCAGCTCAGAAGACTTAAACCCTCCTGCCAGTCAGAAAGCAATTTCATTCACAGCAGGTAAAGGATTTGCTTTGCATATGTTGACATGAATCGCATTATTATGTTCTATTTTCACAAAGAGTTTGTTCGTGGCCAGTTAGGTTTTGAACCTAGCTGATACTAGCTGGTTCATTCAGTATCGTGGGGCATTCCCAAGGCATAACATAGACTGACATAACAAAGACTTGACACTGTAACGGACAATGTCCTGTTCCTGTAGGAGTTACAGTGCAAGTCATGACTTCATGCTGCAAAGGCAAATTTAAATTTAGTGAAAATCCTTCTGAAAAGGGTTGTAAGGTTAGATTTCACCTCATGAGAGATCCTGTTCAGGAAGTTGGAGAAGAATTGTTAAAGGACTGAACCACAGATAAGGAGGCTGTGAATTGTCCTAGGAATTAATCGGATCTAAAGTTTACCAGCTGAGTAGAACATGGCAGTCATTTTGAAGCCAGACCAGGGTGAATAAGTCTTGTTACTGTTTAATTTCCATACATTTGTTTCCAAAAAACATATTTTTATGAATAGGTGAAACTATGAATGAATGGTCTGTACTTTTATCATGAGTCTTGTATTTCAAAGTAACTTCTTAAGACCTTGACAGCACAAGACATTGCCCTGCACAGAGAATGGGAATTCCAAGAAGGTCATTTGCACAGTGCCAGATACCCTAACAGAAGGTCAGGGTTCCCAAGATTGTGACTGATCTTTAGTGCTCCCAAGTGACAAATCAATTATGTAATATATTTTATACTTAGATTAAACCTGTAGGGAATAATTGTTGAAGTGGAAAAAATATTCTCCTCAGTCACTGTATTAAGGTACTGTATTGACAGTACTGTATTGACACCTCAGAGATACAGCAGAGGTTTCCTGTAGGACTGCGGGCATCTTCATGCAGTCATTTCCCACTTGCAAACTGGTGATAGCTTCTTTGTTGTATCACAAGAACTGTGAGGTCTTTGATGTCTTAAGCTCACACACTGCTCTTAGAGCGTTTGAGCTCATAACAAAGCATAAAGAGCTGTCATTGCTGGCATCGCTTGTGGTATTATAGTAAAAAATAACTACGGAATGCACAAAAAAAAGGGGAAATCATTTAACAGATTAAAACATTAGTCTGTAAATGAAAGAAAGGCAAGAACTGGTGTATGAGTTCTTAATCTTCTGTGCATGGTTTGTAGTGTCCTTTGAGTCTGATGCTCAGTTACTGTGAATAGTTTGAAGATTAATTAACAGCACAAACTTGTTCCTATGTTATTCTGAATAAATCACTTACTGCTTTCCAAATACATTATCTTGTGCACCTATGGGTGTCTGTATATACATATAGCTCACTTTGTGGAAGGAGGGCACAATGTGAAGTGAAGATTCCTTTTCTCCTTTTGCTAGATGTATGAGAGCACAGCACAGTTATGTACTTTGTCTGTCTAGCCCTGTCCTCCATAAGTAAGGAGATTTCACAGCGTCTGTATGTAAGGCTGTTTTCACACTGTGAGTGTAATAGGGTTCTAGGATGCTATGCCATGGAGCAAATACCAGTCTCAATGTCATACGTTTCAAGACTGGTTTTCTTTTGACAGGTTTTTGTTGTGGAATTATTTCTGCCTTTTTTTCCTCTTTCTTTTGGAGAATGCTTTTAATTGCATTGGCACCAAATATTACATCAATACTAGTCAAACTCAATTGGTAGTAAAAGGTCAAATCAATGTTACAAGCATTTACTAACATACAATGTGGCTCAAAGAAAGCTAATTCCAGGAGCCACTGAATAAAAATTTCAAAAGCACTTAAATCCCATGCTCAGAAAAGGCTTGGGTTAAGTTTCACTGAGAGTCATTCCAAATCTCACTTGAGAATGGAATTAGGATGGCTTTGGCATTTATATTTCATAGCAGCTTTAATGGTCAAATGTTTCCCACTCTCATGTTCCGCTCAAATCCATTCTATGTAGAGTAACTCCTCGTATCCTCAAAATTCACTATTGAACAAAATTACTTGACTCTTCTTTCTGGTTTCTTTTTCCACAAAAGCAAATTACTCATACTGATATGTTTTATTTCAAATGCTCGTGGTTCACATCACACTGCAGTGCCAGTACTGATAAGGTATTTCTGCCTAGTGTAAATCTCAGTTTCTGATATTCAAGAGATTTTATTTTTACCGTTAGTAAAGACAATGAGTATGGAGTGGTTATTCAGATACTCCGTTTTAGGCATGAAAGTGGAGATTAAACTGGAAACAATAAAATTGCAAATGCAGTAATTTTTAAAAAGGCAAAACACACTGTGTTGTTTCAAGATACAGTATATACTGCCAAAGCTTCATTTGAGTCACTTTAGTGATTACTAATTAAGGTAATTTTTTTTTTTTTAAAGAAAAACCCATTCAAAAGAGAAGCTTGGAATAATGAGAGGGCATCATTAGTACTTTTGTAGTTTTTAACTATTTTTGAAATGTTTCTAGAAATGTTATGAGATGCTGAATGTAGCGTGTTTCTTAAATGATTCTTGCTCATGTTCTTCTTTCCTTTTCTTATAATTTCTATAGACCTCCTTAGCTTCTTTTCATGTTTCTCTCTTGATATCTCTGATTTCTAGAGCTGCTTTTTATGCAACGAGGGATAAGAAGAAGCTAAAGGAATTGGGGGTGTTACTAAAGCAAACTTATATGGCATAGCTAAGTTTGTCTTAGTACCTTTATTTCACTTGCAGGGCACAGGAGGAAGTTGAGTGCTTTTCTGAAAACTTAACAGGCAAAGAGGTGATCAGGCAGCTAACATTTTTTTAATGCTCGAACTTTGGTATTGCTACCACACTATGGAGAAAACCACACATGGAGGAACTTTATAGCACTTGCTTTACTCTTCTCTTCCTGATCATCTGAAGACTTAGTATTTTTTCGCTAGAATTAACCAGGCTTATCACTTCCCCACATATATTTTGTAGAAATAGTTCTTTGCAAAGAATACAAGTTACCTTCAAGCAGTGTTAGTGAACAGTAGGCATCTCTCTGCCAAGGAACAAAATTTTCAGGCATTATAAATAGCAGTGACATAACATTTTTTTCTCCCATGGGCTTACATCAACTTTAAGTTTTCATTTTTATGTAATTTATATTTTGCAGAGTTGAAGCACAGTAGGGTTTTTTGCCTTGTTGTGACACTTCAGGAACCCACAGTCCCGAATTGAGAGCAATAAGAAAAGAGCGAGTATGGTAGTGCTGCTGTGTAAATGTATACAATCCAAATCAAAAAGTGATGGGGCTAGTGGTTTTGTGAAAGGGAGCTGTGGAATGCTTTCTGCATCGTGCTAACTTCCATACCCTACTGAGCATAGCTCAGCACTTAGAGCCAAGTTCTGCCCTCTGATGCGCACACTTGGCTCTTGTTTCTATCTAAGGCATGTGCATCTGAGATCAATACTTGGCTTTTATTTCAAACAGACAAGTAGAGAATGAGTCATGCATACATGTTGCAAATTGAGCAAATGGCGTAAGTAAAATTGCATATTTAATTTAAGAATATTTTTTCCTTTGGAGCATTTGGTAGAACTCTGGAATTCTTGTCTTGCTTTTACTGTTTCAGTCCTGTGAGGAGTAAGAGTTTAACTTGTGGAGCTTTTGCTGCCTATGACCATGTACCTGAGGAGTTAACATTAATTTAGATTGTCATGTTAACAATGATAAACAATCCTGATCTGCGTTCACTTGTGCATTTGTCCAACTGAATTCTGTTTTTTAGGGAAAAACATCTTTAGGGGAAGGTATTTTTATTATTCCCCTGCTTTTTTCTTTATTTTGAACTGCATGTGCCACATTACTGATATGCATATATATGTATATGCATGCTCAGTGGCTTGCAATGGCCCAGTTGTGGAAGCTGTGGAGCTTGCCTCTAGGCTCTGAGGCTTTTACTTTCTCTGTTCTGCAAACTGTCCTTTACTAAGATTTCATGCAATGTTGTTTTTTCACATTCTCTAGTGGCACTGAAATGACCTTCTTCAACTAGCACTGGAACCTTCAACCAGCACACAGGGCTGGTCTGCTGCCATGGCAGGACAAGGTGCAAAATAGGATGGCTGCTGTTGGTTGGCAGAGGGCTGAGATAGGAGCTGGAGGAGGTGGTTCTCTCTCAACAGCAGTTCCCTGTTTCCTCACAGAGAGCGAGCCAGGCTAGATGGAAGCACAGACTCAATTCAGTCCACAGGAGATCAGTTGGACCATGCTGCTAAACCTCAGGATTTACCTAAGCTGAATAGTGTACAGGGTGTATATTCTAGAGATTTACTGGTATTGCTGGCCAAATGTCTGGAAATGACGGTTGCTATACAGCATTATACTCCCAAGAAGAAATTTATAAAGTATCAAGAAAGCAGAAGGAATATGAGCAACTTTGCCTGCTTTTATAATATGTTCTTTCCCCCCCCTTCCCTCCCCCTGCCCCTTGTTCCTCTCCCTCTCCCCCCTTGCCCCCACTCCTACTCTCCCAGCCATGAAGACTTTGAATTTATATCGGGGACCCGCATGCGCAAGCTGGCTCGAGAAGGACAAAACCCGCCGGAAGGCTTCATGGCTCCGAAGGCTTGGACTGTGCTGACAGAATACTACAAATCCTTGGAGAAGGCTTAGGCCTCTTATTAACTGCAGATCAACCTTTGACGCCCGATTTATTTACGAGAAGGGGACCACACAGTCACCGTTCATGTTGCTTTGTTGTGGTGTCTGTCAGGAAGTTCTTCTCTGAAAACAGACTCTTTCTCCCTAACTTAGCATCATTCTTTGCCTATCCTTATGGGTTCTATTATGTCCTGGCACCTAACTAGCTGCTGGTTTTAATGTCTTCTCTTTTATTACAGTTAATATTCTTGCAGTAGGATTTTTAACTCTTGTCTTTTTTTTATATTTTACTGCCTCTGTCCTAAGAGTTCTGCAGCTGTTAAATAGATGCAGCTTTTCTCATATGTTATTTAAACTGCTGGGTAGTGTCTGGTTTTAGTAGTTTGTAGGAGAAAATGTAATGGTTAGATCCTTAACTATGGATAGATTATCTATAAATCGAAAAAGTAAGTAAGTTTTAAAACATCCGTAAAAGTGTCCTCATCTTTATCTCATCATCATCTCCAGAAGCAGTTAACGTTAATTTCTGACTATATGTAATCAAAGAGCTGAGATTTTTATGTAGCATAATTAAACTTTTTTGCTGTCTTTGTTTAGTTTTGGAGTTCATTGAGTTGTCCGGTGACTCTCTCCTGCTGTGGACCTGTAAAGGTGGCCAAGTAATAAACAAAAGAAAATATCTAGTTTTCACTTTGAACTGATAACTAATCCAGATTTTTTTTTTTAATATGTGCTTGTTGCCATAGGCGTCAGTAGGGAATGTTTTCGTTTGATATAACTTGCCAGTTTTTGGTTCCAGATATACTTGTTCAGCCTACTACAACTTTAAAAAAAGTATGGCAGACCAACCTTGAATTCATGTTTAATTAATGCAAGAAAAAAAAAATAATCGTTAGATCTTGGCATTTCCTGTGGTACAAAAGCTTAGTCCTGAGGTTAATTTTCTGGCTATTTTTCAAGGTCTCCAGAGAGTAATCTCCTTCTCTTGGTTCAGCTTTGCTTGTTTGAAAGACAAAGCATAAGTTCTTCTAGGATTCTTAAAAAATCCTGAAGTTGGTTAATTCAGTATGTGAAACATTAACTGCTAAAGGAAAACATAAAAAATGAAAAGTAAAACACTTAAGTGTAAAGTAACACTGACCTATTGGGATCTTTTCAAGCATTTGCAGGTAATCAGTGGAACAGTCATAACCCCTCTTAGCCTATTAGCTATAAACTATCTCATATCCTTCTCACAGAAACTTACTTTTCTGTTGTTAAACAGTGTATATAGGAGGAACCAGCTCAAAATTGTTTTTAGAATGCTGATACTGGCCTGCTACTGAGCCTGGATGAAGCATATGTTCATCTAGATGAAGGTTGTGATGAGGGGACCCATGTAATGAATGGGATGAATGCTACTTGCAATCTTTGTTTACTTGTTCACAGTAGTATTTAAGACAAATGCTTTGAGAATTACTTCCTTCTCTTTTCTTCCTCTGTCTCTTTGAAGAGATGTAGAAAGTATCTTTTAATGGGATTCTTACCTCTGATATAAAGTGAGGCAGAATTGGGAAAAGACAAGAGGCATGTTTATTAGCGAACCACAACAATTACTTGAGACTGTGTTTTGGTAGTGTAAAGCTTATTTCTTCAGAATTGCTGAACAGATTTTGTAGGATGTGTGAAATCCAGAAGAAAGAGTCAGTTCATCTGTGTGCAGCTGTTCATGTAAAACTTCAAGTTTAACTATGAAGGTGAACAAGAGTTATCAGCTGCTAAAATGGGATCTGCTGTTGGAAGTTTGGATTCTTTGCTGTCAGGTTTGATTCTTCTGCTAGCTATGATGAAAGATAATAAAAATATTTTTGCAGAATAGCAAACAGGTGAAAGTTACAGGAATTAACATTTTAAAAATGCTACGTGTGCTATGTGAAGTCCAGAAAATAGGTGGGAATGGTGAGCATGAATGTGAATCATTTTTTTTTGCCTTCAAGCAAATTAATACAGTGATAACAAGCAGATCTAGTTTTCATACTTAGCTGGTTTGATGCTGAGGCCTTGTTGTTATAGTGCTTCTGGAAAGCATTCCTTGCAAGGCTCTGTAGTAAAGAAGCTTTCAGGTTTGTTCTAACTTTAAGCCAACAGCCACGGCATTCCCAGCATAATGCTGATTAAGAACAGGAGCATCTGGTTGATTTGTGGGCAGGACTTGCTCTATACAACAATATTTTCCTGTATCATATGAGTTTTCTCTCGTCTGCAGCTGCCTTAAGGAAGCTGTACTTACAGGTAAGAGCTACCCCAGAAATTACTCTTTTGCCAGTGTCTCTCTTTCTTTAGCTTTTCTCTGCCTTATCTCAGTGGGTAGCGTTATCAGTTGGCCAGTCCTAACGTTCTGTTTCTAACAGTAGGTTCATCTTCATTAAGGGTGCTGTGGCATTTGAGGCTCTTCTGAGACAAGTTTGGTGTCTTCCAGGAGGCAGGAACAGGAGTAATGAGGTAATGGTTGTTGCACCCAACACCTGTCTTCCCACACCTGGTCTACCATCAAAGACCTCAGGAACATGCCGTACAAAAGTAATAATACTCTTGAACTGTGTGATGGATATGAGGACAAGCAGGACCTAACTTTCCAGCTGGGAAAATAAAAAGCTCCATTGTCTCTTCTCTTCAGTTCCTAAAACAACTCTTTTTTTGCTGGAAAAATACTTATATGTACATAAATCATTAATCTAAGCAGTTATAGAAGTGTGTTCTTTTCTTATGAAGAACAGCAAAGTCAAACTTCCAGGTATGTCCTTTTTCTAAACGTCATTTTGCTTTAACAATCAAGAGGAGTTTTACTCTGTTCATTAAGGTGAAAATTGTCGAAAAGTGTTCCCCCTGCCACCCACCTTCTGCCTCTACATTGATCTACCTTATAAATGGTTCTTTACCTGCTACTCTTGCACAGGATAATTTATGGCTATTATCCTGTGCTTTTTGTACAGTCTCAGGATGATTATTCATTTCTAGCTGATCATTCTGATATATTGGGCATGTGATGTATGAAAGTAATAACACCCTCAATCCATATGGCTGATACAAGGACAATCTGGACCCAGCTTTCCAAAATACAAGGATTAATGAGGTAGGTGGAGATTATCAAACCCTAATCCTTGGGGTTAAATAAATGGTACAAAATTACTACCTCTCTTAGGTGAAATGATTAATTCCAGATAACGCTGATTCCTGCAGTACCTATGAGCAACTTTACAAAAAACTTGCCTTTTTCTTAAGAACCTCATGGCTGAGAGTTCTGTTTTCCTATGTGAGCTCCTGTATGCCTGTTTTTGACTAACATGAATAGTCAGAGTAACTTTTCAAGTAAGGATCTACAGGCTGTAATGGAAAAATAGTAGATGAATGCTGAGGATACTGACTTCTGCCTGATTTTTTTTCTTTCAATAGGGGATCTGAGCACTAACAACTCAGTAATACGTCAGAGATGCGAAATGGAAAATGTAGACTAGATCACAGGTTTTTTTAGATGCAGTTTGGAGCTAACCAAGCTTCTACATCTGGAATAGTTCAGTAGAAGTCGGGGGGGCGGAGGAAATGAGTGGATGTCCTGGCGTGGTGGTGCTGGAAATAGAACAGGGCTACCATGAGCTGTGTAGCCAATACTGTAATTGGCTTGAGTTTGGACTTCCCTTGCGTTTCATATTTCCTTAATTTCAAAAAGTTCCATAGGCGGGTCACACAGAGGGTTAAACTTACTGCCTTTCCACGCTTACAAAAAGAATAAAAATTACTTTGAGCATCCTGACCAAATACTAACAGTAGTCCAGATCCTTTTCCTTTCCTGACGGATTAAAGGTGCTAATCAATGTATTACTCCCTTTCCCTGTAAAAGCTGACAGCTTCAAAAACAAGTCTCTGTGTGTGTGTGACACTTTCAGTATTTAGACACATGGCATCCCTTGTATCTCTTAAAGGTCACGAACCTTTAAGCTTTTGTGATAGGCACTGTAGGAACACAGAAAAAAGCTCTCATCTCTGCTTCCCTGTGAGTCAGAAGGTAAGTTTACTACATCTATGGCACCATCTCCAAAGACAGGGAAAGGGAAAACTATTCCTTCACTTAATATAGGAGAATCCACAGGAAAAAACAAGATGGAAACTGAATCTTCATTTAACTTTGCATGCATGTCTATCCACCTATAGGAACAGGATTTACTGTGGTTCTTGAACATGAGTGAGAAATGTGTAGGAATGGTATTCTACTCCTCAAACCTGACACAGAATCCTTCACCACCACCACCACCTGTAAAATAATAGGGACTTCAGCCTGGAGTGAGTTGGCTGAATTAAATGCTAGAATGAAAGCAACTGATAGCTCAGAATTAGTATTTTGTTGTTCTTTATTAATTGGTCTCGGAAACTTGCTTACCAAAACTCCCAATTTAGATGCTGTTAAAGAGGAGAGCAACACTAGTTCAATTTTTTTCATGTTTAGAGTTTTTTACAAGATGGAGCTGAGAAGCAAGATTGCCAAGGGTAAATTTAAAGCCTTCAAGTGGCCAATTCATTGGATACGAGAGTTCCTTGCCAGCAGCCAAACAGGTGTCGGGTAAATGTGATTTAAAGGAAGACTGTGCTGAAGTTTCTGCTCAGTTGTGTTGTTTTACCTTGAAGAAAGCCTGAGGGCTGGAATAGCGGGGCCTCTTTTAAGTTTGCTTTCTCATTTCACAAAAAACTTTTTGATTATGAGTATTAGCTGGATTTTTGCTAGGCTTTTGAAGTGTCCATTGAAGGGTTTTCTTTGTGTCTCCTGCAAGTTCTGTGTCTGCTCTTGTGGTGTTAGGATTGCTTTTACCTGTATCCCTTTTCATTATTTAGTCTTTATTAAAATCACTTTTTTCTTCTTTTTGGGAGGGTATATATGTGCATGAGCCAGCATCATGCCTTCAACATTTCCAGAGCTGTTTGGCCTAGAAACCTCATCTTGATACCATTTTGAAGTTGAGGGGGAAAGGCAACTACACTGAAAGCTAGAAAACACTGCTTTAAAGGCACATCTGGAATTCTTAGACAGTAAATGGCTCCAACGTAAAACAGAGAATACAGAGATTTTATATGCCATAAAACTCAAGGAGCCTTGGATTCAGTATAAGGACTGTCACCCGACCTTCATGTTAAAATCCATCTACACAATGCTTTGAAGTATGATTGTAGTCAGAACGCTACCTGTCTATGTATAAAAGGAGGGGAAAAAAAATCGTTTCAGTATAAACGTCAGTGGGGGTGGAAATAGTGCCCAAATCTTGCTTTTATCCTCTGCAAACAAACCTCTCTTGTCTGTGGAGTCCTACACTCATCACTCTAAATTGCATCGTATGAGAAGAGTACAAACATTTCAGCCATACCCACTTACTTTCATCTCATAGCAGCTGTTAGACTGCAAGTCTTTTACTTGCAATCTAAGCTGTGAGTTTTCAG